ATACATTTAATTTTCAATGTGTCTTTCGTTCAAAACCAAAAAACAAAACAAACAAACAAAAAAAAAAAAGAAAAGAAAAACAGAAAAAATAAAACAGAAAAGAAAAGAAAATAGTTCAAAGCGAGCCATAGATACATTTTCCACTTCTTCTCTGGTATGGCCAAGAGCAAACACAGTTTAAATAAATGCCAACAAAAATATGCCAAATTCCGCACAATGTAACTCACTTAAATTCGATAATTTTGGATTATAACAAATATGTATAAATATATATGTATATGTATACAAAGTGTAATATATATGAACTGTGCTTCAATCTGGCGCTGGGCGAAAAAGAGGCGTAGCTGCAAAAATCGAAGCCAACTTTATGCATATTTCTTGGTGTAGAGAGCGCGTCGTGCGTTTGTGTGTATGCGTGTGTGTGTGTGTATGAGTGTGTAAGAGCATAGCACAGTAAATGTAGGCTAAAAAATTGAAACATATTTAAATTAAATGTAATATATATATTTTTGGCTCAAATTTGAATTACAAAAAAAAAATAAAAATAAAAAAAAAAACAACTTTTTTAAGTATTCATTAAAAATGTAAAAGTGTAAAAAAAAATAGCCAAGAAAATTTTAAACGTGTACGCTTGGCATATACGCACAAACACACACACACTCACACACATACGCACAACAAAAAAGAAACCCTAAATAAATACTAAGAAATGTAGGCAAAAAGGAGTCTGCTGCAGCGCGTGTGTATTTGACTGTGTGCGTGCGTTCGTGTGTGTGTGTGTGTGTGTGTGTGTGTGTGTGTGTGTGTATACGTTTCTTTGCCTGTATTAGTGGCACTCTGCATAAGTTAGGAGCATCGCACCGCGCCGTCAAATTCGTCGGCGTCTTCGTGCGCTTCGCTTTGGCAGCCGCCTTGACGCTTCAGTTCTGACAGCCTCCGCCCCATGCGTCTTGCTAACTTGGCTTTGTTTTATTTGCCAGTAAATTGTTGTTGGCTTGGCCGCTCGTTGATTAGCCTGATGAGGCAGGCCGGCCCGCATATGCTTTTAATTGCCAAAAACGTGCAGACCCACATATCAAACAGCCAGCAGACACACACACACACACAGACAGTTGGTTAGCTGTGATAAAGGAGCTCGCTTGTGCTAATGATACTGGCCCCAAAGCTTAATGGCTTAAAGTCTTAGCCAGCACCTCAAGCGCTGGCAACTGAGCCGAGAAATATATACCTATATATATACCTATATATACAGAGTATGTATATATATATGTAAGATCTATAGATATACTCGGCAGACTTTGGCAGAAACTTAACGGCAAAAGCTGTCTATAAAATCTGATTAAGTAATTTGCAAGTTGGCCATCATCAAATATGCGAGCGAGGCTCCAAAAGTTGTTGGCAGCTGTATGGGGCCATGCATATTAAAGCGCCTCGTTTTGTAGGTCATCAAATATGTAAAACTCATTAATAAACTCTCAGACAAAGGCCATAGGCTCAGCACGCAGTTTCAATGGCAGCTTACACGCACACACGCACACTGATACACATATTCATAACTGAAACTTAATTAATATGAGCTAAAGTCTTATCAGGCATAATACAGTGCAGCGCGTATGTTCATGTACGCCAATCAGTGTGTGTGTGTGGGTGTTTGTGTGTGTGTGTGTATGCTTATGTAATTTATTTGGCAAGGCAAAAAGGCTTAGCTCCTCGCATGCCTTTTTAACAAGTTGAAACAACAGGCAAAACAGCCATGGCAACAATACAGCGCACACTAACACTCACACACACACACATACACACATTCGTGCACAATCGCATACAAAACAACAATATTTAAGCGTCTGGCACAAATTTGAAATGCTTTGCCACAAAATGCAATCAAAGCAAACGGTGAAGGCGAAATTTTTGGAAAGCAAAAACCACGCACACGCAAGCATAGACATACAGCCACACGCACACACACTCACTCACATACTAAACAAAACCAATTAACGAGATATGTGCAAATGTATAAAAAGGCACGAGAATTTAGGGGGAGAAAAAATAACATATTACAATGAGGAGGCGCCGGAAGAAGCCTAAGCGGCATACAAATCAAATGCGCTTAGAGAGAAAAAAAGCTAAAATTAAAAAAGAAAACACCCACACACACACATCCGTACATACATACATATAGCAATACAAAGGACCTACGCGCACTCACACACACACACACACACATGCAGCTGGCTGGTGGCAGGAGCCAAGTAGCAAGCGTTTATGCTAAACAGAGTGTAACTGCCGGGGTTGCCTGTTTGCCAGTGACATTTCTGCAAAAAGCCAAGTCCAAAAGGGAACAAAAACATGGCCCAAAGCACAGTCAAACAGACCGACAGACAGACAGCCACAGAGAGATGTCGAGAGGCAGAGTCAGAGGCTGAGCGTGAGCTGAAGAGCCTCTGCCTTTGCAGACTTAGCATACTTACAGGAGCGCGCTCTCTCTCGCTCGCTCGCTCTCTCTCTCTCTCTCTCGGTGTGAAGCAGGCTCAAGCTATTTTTGGCTTCAACGAACTCTCTCTCTCTCTCTCTGCGGGCTGTGCTCTCTCTCGGCCAACTGGCACTAACCAACTGTCAACGGGTCTGGCCCGATTGCCAACGCGGCCAAACGCCATTCAAACGCGCAGCTGAGAAAATGTAACGGACGCAAGCAGCCAGCAAAAATATAAATAGTATATATATACATATATATTTGCATATATCTATATGTCTATCTATATGTGTACAGTACATATATATGTATATATCTACGGAAGACGAAAGCTGAACAAGCAGAAGAAGTGGCAAAAACCAAACAAAATTACAAGTATACAAAAGAGCTAACGCATCTGTGTGTGTGTGCGTGTGTGTGTGTGTGTGTGTATGTGTGCGTGAGCGAGTGCGTATGTGTGTCAGTATAACTGTGCTGTTGATATGTGTCTGTGTGTCAGTATACTAATACGCATGCATAGATTGAATGCTAAATTTGCAAGGCTTTAGAAATTTGAAATGGAAAGCAAACTAAGAGCACAAGCTAGACAGATTCATATATGTATAGACCTATATATATATATATAT